TGGATTCTTTTTTGAACGGAGGAGGTATGTAGCTGTTTGGCTTAGCTATTCACCATCATAGAAAACATTGCCGATGATTCCCATATGATTAATTAAGTATTAAATATTATAAATTTAAAATTTTATTTATTTATTTTTAAAACAATTTTGATATTGAATTTTTTAAAAAACGTATTGTTTAATAGTTTAGAAAATGTGCTCACAATAAACAAAAGATTAGCTCTCTCCAACCATACAAACGAACCCAGTCGTAGGGTGTGTTTTTCCCCTTTCCTAACTTCTACTCAATTGTTTCTATTGTTTCTAGTGCGTACACTTTTCAAATTGCTAAATGGTACTTTTTTATAAAAAAAAATATTTTAAAAATCATATTGATTTTTTTCAAGCTTTTTAGCTAACACTTATTTAATTACGTCCTAATCCACCGCCCCCAACCCTTCCAGAAGGATACAAGCTTAACTTTTTCGGGATCATGGTAATACCAATTTTCCTTTTTATTTTCCCGTTTAGTAAGCATGAAGCTATATATGCATGGGCCTGTGTCAAAGGGATCCGGAATTGTTTAAGATAGAGCTAGGGGTAGAATAATGTTGTTTGGGTGAGCCATCTTAATCACATTTATATAAAAATATATATAGGATTAATTAAACTACTTTTACTATTGTAGCCAACAAATTCCATATTCAGTAAGGATTCAGGAGCTGGGTGATGAGCTCTACCAAACCGATTTTGCTATATCTCACTCGAAAGATTTTTTCTTATCTCTCACTCGATTTTCTCACTCAAATTTACAGTGCATTTTCTTGTAAGTTACAGTGTAATTTATGAAACTTACACTGTAACTTTTGTAAGTTACACTGTAATTTTTGAATCTTCACATGTAAATTTTAAATTTTGTATTGGATTTGGTCTTTTTCTTGAGGATATGGTAATTTAATGTTCATTATGGTGTTTCTTAATTGCTTTTTGCTTTTTATTATATCTATCGGATTTTAATATAAAGATTAAAAATCTGTGTGATACGATTATAAAAATCTTTCGAAAAATGTATAGGTACTCCCCTACCAAACATGTCCCATCTAGTGTACTAATTAAGCAGTTAAAAAATGGAGTTGAGATTTTTTTTTCTTTAAGGTACCGGAGTAGGTGCCATATTTTTAACGTAAATCTTTCTAATCTCCATGCATACCTTTATAGTGGTGAACTTAAGTAGATATTATATTTTATCATTAAATTAAAAACCTAAGATTTCCATACCTTCACCTTTGGATCGTAAAAAAAATCAAAAAAAATATATTCATAACTAGTACTCCCTCCATATTTTAATGTATGACGCCGTTGACTTTTTGACCAACGTTTGACCATTCGTTTTATTCAAATTTTTTATGCAAATATGAAAATATTTATGTCATGTTTAAAGAATATTTGATAACGAATCAAGTCACAGTAAAATAAATGATAATTTTATAAATTTTTTAAATAAGACGAATGGTCAAACGTTAAAAAAAATTCAACAGCGTCATACATTAAAATACAATACGGAGGTAGTACTACGTTATTAACATTTAATACCAGCAAATGATCGAAGGGTACCGACGGAAGGGATATCCTTCCTCATACGCAGTCTCCCATGACTACCATGCTCCCATTTCCATTATGCATGCTCCTGCACTATGTCTCTACACACGTTTAGGAGGCCAGCAGCAAATATCTGACCTCACTAATTTTTTCTATTAAAAGCACACATCTACGAGCGTAATATATTTATAGGCACCAGGATATAAACCTTGGTATTAATTAAGTCATCACCCACAACTCCATCAACACATTGTTACAAATAAGAAATTAGATCATCACACATAAATGTAATTGTGTCTGGTGCAACAAAATTTTCATTTATTTTAGTTTGATTTACTACAATAAACAATTTGATCATAGTTTATTTATAATAAGAATATATATTCCTCCAAAAGCGTGGCATCGATAGCCACTTGGCCTGCCCCTTTTGCGCTCAAGAGCTCGAGACGGCGAACCACATCCTCCTCGATTGCATCTTCGCTCGTCAGGTCTGGTTACGGGTGCTGTCGCCTCCTAGCTGGACTGCCCTCTCGCCCCCCGTGGCAGCTGGCTCTAGGGTTGGTGGCCATCTTCCAGTGCTGGTTTACCTGATCACCTCCGTTCCAGTTTCGACTCCCTGGTCCTCCTGGTCTTGTGGCAGCTATGAAAGGAACGTAACTCTAGGGTGATTGACTCCGCGCTCTCTTCGGTCTCAGTGGTCCAAGAGTCCATCCTGTCGGAGGGCCGATTGTGGTCGTTAGTGAGCGTTGCTTCCTTTGGGAACTTGTTGGGAGTGTAGCGTGGCTCTGACCCTTCTCGTTGTTTGGAGTAGCATTCGAGTTTTTCTTTTTCTTTTTTCTCTTCCTTGTTTTTTAACTTTATTTTTTCCCTTCCCTGACGTAGGCCGGTCTGGCCAATTGCGGTGTGTAACAAAAACTCTATTCCTCTAATATATTGACGTGCAATCTTTTTGCGCGTTCGTGAAAAAAAATATATAATGACCCACGACACGCACAGATCTTGCTCTTTGCTGAAACTGCATCAATAGTTCGTGCTACTTTGCTAGTGATCGCTAGAGAGTTTCATAAGCTATATATATAGCGCAGCAAAATTTGGGAAGCAACATAATAATGGCGCCCTTCATGATCCCAGCCAAACCGGCGACAAACTGCTATACTGCTGTGGACTTCACCTTTCAGTTGAACTAATATAGGAGTAGTTTACTACTGGAACGCTACAAATCAAGGGTAGTCTCTATTGACAGTATTATTGATTTATTATTTCTACTACTAATACAAAAAATTATACTAATACCTTATATAGTTAAGATGGTAGCTGGTATAAATAGACATGACATATTAGATTAGAAAAAAATAAAATGTTTAGAAAAATTCATTTTTTAACGATCAGCACCAGATAGAATGATGGTTCATTAAATAGAGTACGAAAACATTACAAATTAGCTAGTACCCTGAAAGTTAGTGGTCAGGAATGAAAAAAAAAACCACTACCACGCATCAATAGCCCCTACACAGAGTCAAAGCAGAAACCTAACACTGGACCGATCACCAGACCAATAAGAAAGCTACCGCCGAGACTGCCCACAATATAATGTTTAGATAAATTCTACTATCAATAAAGAACATTATAAAATCTCTCTTTGTAGATTTTAGGTACAGTACAATCCAATGGCCCAATTCATTTACTGAGCATCCAGCTAGTTAGCTTTAGTTAGTGCTAGGCATCATTATTATATTAGATCCCATTATATTATCTACTGATTACTTCACTTGATCCCTTGAGCATGATCGAATGAATAGAAAAATATTGTGTAGGTAGACCACACTACACACACCGCGATCTTCTGTAGCTAGCTAATCTAGTCAATCAAAGGCAGGAAAACGATAATCACCTCAGGTATTAAGGCGGCATGTGAAGTTAGAGTTTGCATTAGGACCAGTATATTTTCATGCCGTTCTTGCCCCCTACAAACTTTGACCTTGACTTGTGGTCTTGGACAGTGAAATCAAGACATCAGTGGGAGAGAACACATGACAGGGAGACTAATCTTTGCAACTTGGCATTAGAATAATCAGAATCACAGTTTGGTCGGTTTGGATCTTGTTGTACACATTTCGCAACCAACGTATAGGAAAATTAATATGTCCCAGAAGTTGCATATTATAAGTCAGAATCTTGTAGTTTATTGTTCATCATTTATACTTCTGTTGTGTAAATGATTCCTATTTTGACCAGTTGATATATGTTTCATTGTCTTCTTCATTTCGAATTATTTATAGATCCTATAGATAGGTATAACATGAATGTAATAGACTATTTCTGGAGGACGATGGTATTACATTTTTTTTCCTTGAATAATAAGCTTAGTATTCTCTATCTTGGACAGAAAACCTTGAACCTTAATTAGTGGGTACTCTCTGTGTTGATTTTATAGGCCGCCCATGTACTCCAAGATTCATTCTTTGCGAGCTCTCTACTAACAATTAGTCCAACAGTAAGTATATCTTGAAACAGGAAAAACAGCACAATTGAATTCATCTTTGAAAACATTTTCTCTACTATATATCACTTATTTTTTGTTACTGCCAGCAATATAACCTCCCGTCAAGTCAAATCATGCACGCCCCTTGTAAAAGTAAATGGACAATAGCACTTTATGTATTTTGTATTCATTTTGCAGGATTTGGGATTTTGCGCATTTGAAATAACAGAAGGGCAAAAATGAATATCAGCACATGATCTTCCCACATCAAAATGAAGCATTTTAATTATGCATAGTACTTATTGTATAAATTGCAATACCAGCCAGATTATATGATGGTAAAAGGATTCCCATCTATCTTTGCTATACATAATACACTTATTGTTTAATTTAGAAGTAAGTACTGTACTTCTGCCTGACTCTGGACGGTGCAAGCCTAACACAACTCCCACTTGATCAATTGCTCTGAACATCGGTAGTTCGGTACTAGTCTGCAATACTCCCAGCAAATCTATCATGGAAGATATCGATATAGACATATGATGAGAGGAAATTTTATTAATTAATACTTGAGCATATCACTATCATAATTCCCATATGTAAACTCGATTTAATATTAATAAGGTTAGTATGATGGATCCAGAGCTAACTAGCTAAGTCGGCCATGCATGTTAATCATCCCATCAAGCATATGCATCATGCAGTCACCACCAGAGCAAATCATTGGTTGACCACTTTTGCCGCCCCCACAAACGAATCAATTTTTTTAAAAAGGGCACCAATTACATTTTCCCTCCATTACTCCTGCTGCTAATCATGCTTAAGATCGCCCATTAGTACCACCTCGCTTATTTAATCCATTTCCCCACTAACTTTTAAGCTTTCCCGCCCTTATATATACTCCTCCATGCAACCTCCCCATGCAGCAGCAGTAGCAGCAGCTTCATCGCCAACGACCACAACTACTTCTTCTCCTCGATCTCTCGAAGAGTATGGATTTCTACTTCTTCTCCTCGTCGGCGCCGGCGCCGGAGAAGAAGACGAGGCGGCAGCAGCAGCAGCAGCAGCAGCGGGAGCAGGAGGGGGGTGGAGGAGGGAACGAGGCGAGATACCTCGGCGTGAGGCGGCGGCCGTGGGGCCGGTACGCGGCGGAGATCAGGGACCCGGCGACCAAGGAGCGGCACTGGCTGGGCACGTTCGACACGGCGGAGGAGGCCGCCGTCGCCTACGACCGCGCCGCCCGCACCATCCGCGGCGCCGCCGCGCGCACCAACTTCGCCTACCCGGACCTGCCCCCGGGCTCCTCCCTCACGCCCTACCTCTCCCCCGACCTCTCCACCAACGACCTCCACCGCCACTACTACGGCGCCGGCGCCGGCGCCGACACCCAGACCGCCGCCGCGCTGCCGGCGCCGGCTCAGCCCGCACACGGCGGCGACGCCCAGGAAATGGCTTACGGTGGCGGTGGCGGTCAGAATGTGGGTGGCGTGTTCGACGTCGTCGGCGGCGGCGGCGGCGCGGCGTGGTGCGACGCGTCGGAGCTGGAGTTCGGCGGGTACGACGACGCGGGCGCGTCGGCGGCGGCGGCGGCGGTGTACTTCGAGGAGGGGTACGTGCACAGCCCGATGTTCTCGCCGATGCCCGCGGCCGACGAGGTCGCCGCCGACGGCTTCCAGCTCGGCGGGTCGTCGTCCTCCTCGTATTACTACTGAGACACGCCGCCGTCGATCGCCGTCGCCGGCGGATCGGCGACGGCGGCGAGCGCGCCCGCCGGAGGATTACGAACGCTTCGGTGTGGCGAGTCGTGTGGCGTCATGTACGCGTGTTAATTAACCTCGTGTGTGTTGTCTGCGCGTGTAATAATCAGCTGGTCAGTCTTGGTGTGTATTAATTCGTGGTTGAGTCCATTCGGCCCAATGTTTTGTAATGGGCCTTGGTTGTTTGTTACTCCTGTGTGGCTGTGTCACTGTGTGTTAGTGTAAAACATCAGTCGGAATGCACATGCTCCTTTGTGTTGCTGCTGGCGCTTCAATGCAATCTTCAGGTGTTTATTTTTATTCAACTAATTATTATATGCTCCGTCCTAAAAAGAATGTGTTTCTACTATCATTAAAAATTTAAAATTTTTTTCTCCAAAATGATTGTGCTTCTATCAAGATAGGACCCAACCAATTAATTTAAAATGATAATTAGGTGGACTAAGGACATGTAAGAAGAGAGACTATTAGTTAATCTTTATCACTTAAAGACTATGACATACTCCCTCCATTCCAAATTGATCTACATATTTCATAGGTACACCAAAATCAAGAAAAGCTAATAACTCTCTTATACTATATTTACACTAGCAACAAACTCGATACATGCACCATCCCCACTATTTCCTAGTTAATAGCAAATCAAGATATTGCATGTGGGTTATAAATACTTGTGTGCATCGATGCATGCATTAATGTCCATTTACTCCAATACACAAATAACGAATAGACTTAATGAATGAACACAAATATGTAAATCATTTAGGAATAATTAAAAAAAACTATATATACATCAATTTGGAATGGAGGGAGTACTTGGCTTTTTCAGATGGGTTAGCGTTTCCTATATAGTTAAGTTTTCCAAATAGGGCTATTGCTTTCCCCTTACTATATGATGCGGTATTAGATTTTGGGGTCGTGGAGTCTGTGAGTTGAGTTCAATATCATGCAAGCGATCAGGGAATGCGATCAGAATAAGCAGATCTGAATAACACAAATATTAGGGATTAAACAAGGGAATTGAACGTTTTGTAACACTAGATGGTAACTTGATGCTCCATCCGTTTCAGGTTATAAGACGTTTTGACTTTGGTTAAAATCAAAATGCTTTAAATTTACCTAAGTTTGTAGAAAAAATAATAATATTTTTAACTCAACACAAATTTATTATAAAAATATATTCAATTATTGATTTAATGAAACTAATTTAGTATAACTATATTCATAAAAAAAACAAACTTAGTTAAATTTAAAGTAGTTTAACTCTAACTAAAGTCCGTCACGTGGTTAAACCGGAAGGTGACGATAACCCAACCCAAACAATTTGGTAAACCCTGCTCTATGCCATCCGGCATTAGAAATAAGTCGATGACATCATGACCCATTGAAATTAAAGCAAATGAAAAGAGATTGAACACGAAGATAGACTTCAGAGCAATCGGGGGAAAATTACTCAAATGCAACAGTTCGGATCAAACAGAGACCAGGAGTTAACAAGGCAAAAGAGCTGATCAAACGGCAACATACGTCGTAGTAACCTACAAACTAGAACAGGCAAGATACGTCATAGTACCAAGTACCTACAAACTAGATACGTCATAGTATGAAGTACCTACAAACTAGAACAACAGAACTGGTAGTACCAAGTGCCAGGTACAAACTAGAAGAACACACAACAGAATAGGTTCTACCAAGTAACAACTACAAACTAGGAAGAACGGAACAAAAATAAGCGGACTTACAACGGCAAGCCAAAGGAAACAATAAATACCACTCAACAGAAACGCAACAAGAATGTGAACACTATAACTTAGACAGCAAAAAGATGATCCAGGTTCCACATCCGTTACATCACGACAGAGTAAAAATAGTTTCTCAGTAGCACGCGAACATAGGATTGTTGATGTGAAACACATGCATTCGACAAAAGGGAAATGAAATACGACAACGAAAGCAGTTCTCTTAGCAGTAGACCAACTAGAACATGTAAGGGTAACGGCACAACACATGCGGCGGCCAAAAATTTAGAGCTTGTCCTCGAAATCGGAGAGGGGAGTCATCTGCTCCTTGAGACCCTTCCTCTTGCGGATATCCTGCACCAGGGTTGAAGCCTGCGAGCCAGCTTCAAGAGGATCAGAGGTCATCATGTCCCAATGGTCGAACACACACTGGGGGAAGGCCTGGCCAGATGTCGCAGCCCTAAGCTGGCTTGAGAACCCAAAGGACTCGATGACAGGGAGGTAAGCCTTGATGTTGTACAGAGGGGTACCAGGCCTCTGCATCTCCTCGAACACATGTCCTCTCTTCTGGTTCAGAACACCATAGATACCACCAAGGGCATTCTCAGGGGCCTGGATCTCCACCAGGTAGACGGGCTCAAGAAGCCTGGGCTTTGCTGTGAGCTGAGAAGCATAGATGACCCTCCTGGCCGTGGGAATGACCTGGCCACCACCTCTGTGAATAGCATCAGCATGGAGAACAACATCGCACACCTCAAAGCAGATACCACGCATGTTCTCCTCAGCCAGAGCACCCTCCTTTGATGCCCACTGGAAACCAGCCACAACGGAATCCTTGATTTCATTCAGATACTGAACTCCCTTACACATATCAACCACCATGTTGGGGCCAGTTGTCTCAGGTCCAAAACACCAAATCTTCTTTGCAAGATCCTTGTCCCAGCCGAACTCCTCAGACAGGATCTTGGAGCGCACCTTGGGATCATCACGTGGGCCAATACGACCGTCATCAATGGCCTCAGCCAATCCCTCCTCCAAGGGGCGAGCTTCCATGTAGAGACGGTTGTGCTTGTTCGGGGACTTGCTCATAACAGTACGGCACGACTTCTCAAGGACAGTCTCACGGAAAGAAACAACAGGTGGGGAAACAATGATTTCAGCACCACCCATGAAATCTTCCTGCAGATCCTTCAAGCAAATTTCAAGGTGAAGCTCTCCAGCACCAGCAATGATATGCTCACCAGACTCCTCAATAGTACAGAGCACCATAGGATCAGACTTCGCCAGACGCTTCAAACCCTCAACAAGCTTGGGCAGATCAGAGGCAACCTTGCACTGAACAGCAACACGCACAACAGGGGACACTGAGAACTTCATTGCTCTGATTGGGCAGGCATCTGACTCCTTCTCATTAGTCAGGGTGGCATTCTTGGTGATGAACTGATCCAAACCAACCATAGCAACAGTGTTACCACAGGGAACATCCTCAACAGACTCTTGTTTCTTTCCCATCCAGATGACAGTACGCTGGACACTCTTCACATACAGATCCTTCTTCTGGCCAGGGACATAGTTGGGACCCATGATACGCACCTTCATGCCAGTTGCAACCCTCCCAGAGAAGACACGACCAAAGGCAAAGAACCTACCTTTGTCTGATGCGGGAATCATCTTGGAAACATACAGCATAAGAGGACCTTCTGGATCACAGTTTCTGATAGCAGTTGCGTAGACATCATCAAGAGGACCCTCATACAAATTCTCCACACGGTACCTCTGGGCCTTGGACGGAGATGGAAGGTGGTATATCATCATCTCAAGAAGAGCATTACTGGCTGGCAGCCATGTTTGCATAACACGCTTCATGAGAGCCTTGCCCATAAGCTCCTTCTCATCAGCCTTCATGACCACACCAAGCTTCTGCAACATAGGCCACAACTTATCCTTCTGATCATTCATGCAAGTGTTGATGATTTGCTTGATCGGCTCATAACAGAACTGAACGAAACCTCTTTTGCAGGTAGCTGAGCCAGTGTTCTTGTTGGTCCATTTCTTTGTGGCTGGGTCAAAGAAGTTCTCACCCCAAAGCCTCTCCATCATCTTAAATTCATCAACTCCAAACTTGGAAGCATACATCTTAGCAAAGCTCGAGAGTGTGAAAGCCCAGCCATGCAGACCAGCAGAGAAAGCAACAGTTCCCTTCTCAGGGTAGACTTGGACATCACCAAGGAGTGTGTCTTCATATGTTGCCATAATGACATTGGCATTCTCAATGACACGGGAGAAGGTCTGATAGGCCTCCTCACCTTCAACTTGAAGCTCAAGGAAGCACCTGTCCATCTTGTTCACAGTAAGGACAGGCCTAATCCTCTCACCAAGGGCTTGGCGAAGCACAGTTTCAGTTTGCACACAGACACCCTCAATACAGTCAACAACCACCAAAGCACCATCAGTAATACGAAGAGCAGCAGTGACCTCCGAAGAAAAATCAACGTGCCCAGGTGAATCAATAAGGTTGATCAGGTACTCATTTCCATCTCTCTCACCCTTGTACAACTTGAGTGATTCATCACTCATCTCATAGAAAAGAGAGATACCAGTGGATTTGATTGTAATACCACGCTCAGCTTCATCTGCACGGGTATCAGTCATGCGAACATCACCCGCAACTTCCTGGGCAATAATACCAGCAGCCGCCACAAGAGAATCCGTAAGTGTAGACTTTCCTGCAGAGAGAACATAGCATGTAAGTGCACCTTGATTTGCACAAAACTAAGGCATAGAAAGCTGAAAATTTGCACAAAACAAAGCCATCTAAAATAGATGGGACATATATAGCTTGTTCTTGAAAGGATCCCAATAGTAAGCATTTTTTTGAACTTGGGACTAACAAAAAAGTAAACAGACAGGGATAGCATAGCATGACATATCAAAAAGAGAAATTAGCAATAAGCAAAAGTAAACAAGCTATTAAATAAAAGAGCATAATACACAACATATTCTTCCAATGCAAAATTGCAAAATAGCACATACAAAAAATTAGCATACCATTTTGGTGACCAGCACAGCAGCATAAATATTTAAGCTAACACACAGTAATGATCAAACTATTAACTACTCCCCCCGTCTCAACAAAGAGAGTAAATTAAAATGATCGCCACCTTCCAAATGAATTAACTTGCACAAGTAATTGTGGCACTAATCATGCAGAGATCGACTGTGATCGACTCATGTCACAGAATCCGATGAATTTATTATTGCAAATGTCAATTGTATAAGAAATGGAATATAACCAATTGAAGTAAACCCAACAATAACATTATGATCAGATATTAATACACCAGTCATAACTATTCTGGCACATACCGTGGTCCACATGAGCAATGACGGACATATTACGGATGTTATTCTTCTTGTCCATGATCCGGCGGAGCTCTTCTACTGTGAACTTCACCATCTTGACTAGCTTTGCAAATCACGCTACAAATACAAATTCCTGTACCAAAAAAAGAAACCCAGTTAGAACCATGCAAAAC